AGCCAGCCTGGCTCAGCTTGGAAACCTCTCCCTTTCCCCTCAGCACGGCTGGCTCAGGAATTCTGGGAGTTGAAGTCCACGAGTCATAAAAGAGCCCAGGTTGCCTACCCCTGCAGTGTATGGCATCAGGAAGGGCATCCTGCCAGGCAATGCTCAGCTCCATCCAGCCCTGACTCTACCCCAAATTAAGAGATTATGGGTCATAAAAAGGGAGATTTTTAATTGATATTTGCAAGGTTGAGCGCGTTCTGTGTACCTTCTCCAAAAAATGCCACCTTATTCTTCCTACGGTCCCTGGTAGGGGTTTTTTTTTTTCTTTCCCTGCCAGGTGAGCATCTTGGAAATGTCGGGTGATCCTGGAGGAAGGGGCTTTGAGACCAAGCCCCAAGGAGGGTCCTTGTAGCTCGGGGTTGAAATGAGGGGTCCTGGGGGCCGTCTGAGCTGGGTTGCTTCCTTGCAGACGTTTCACGACCCAACTAGGGAACATAATCCGTGCCTGAAAAGAGGGGGGGGGGGTTGCAAAGTGGAGGACCGTGGAGTCCTTGGCGCTGCTGGAAATCGGTGGTTTTCTTGCAGAAATGTCCTAGGTAACTTCATGAGGGCTAGTGGCTTTGTTAGAAGGGGCTTGGCTTTGTAGCCAGCCGGCCTCCCAGTTACGCATCGTTTTTTTTAAAAAATAAAAACAGTCTTTTAAAAGAATTAGGATTCGAAAGCAGTTCCTGCCCTAGTTCAGAGGAGTCCAACCTTGGCAACTTCAGCTCCCAGAATTCCCCAGCCAGCATTTCTAAACCTCCACGTGGCCACAGCTGCCCACCTCCCTGCCTGCCTTTGTGGCAGCTTCCGTGGGGCCCGTCCGAGTGGCCTTCCTTTTCCCCCTTGGCCGACGGGAATCCTGGGGTTCCCCCCCCCCCCCGACCTCTCCTCTGCAGCTGCCTTGACTCGGTGGCCCTTCTTCCTTTTGGAGAGGAGAGCGAGCAGCTCGCCGGACCCCACCCCTGTGGGAAGGGGTCGCCCCTGACCCCCGATCGGAGGAGGAGGGGGGCCCATTCCAGAAGGCGCAAAGCTCGGAATGGAAGGGAGCGCAGCGAGGGATCCCAATTTCCTAAGCTCAGAGGGGCCTCTTTGGGGAGAAGGCTTCGCCTGTGGGGCGGGTGGCCCCCCCCCCCCAGGGATTGGCCTTCCCGTCAATAGCAGAAGATGTGGCTGCCGATTGACAGCTGCCTTGCAGCTAATCCTCCTCCAGTCAGACAGGTCTTCTCCATCCCGGGATGCTCCTGAAAGCGGAGAGCCGGTGTGGGAGAAAGCAGGAGACCCTGAGTTCAAATCCTGCCTTAGCCATGAGAGCCATCAGGGTGACCTTGGGCCTCTCTCTCCCTCTCTCCCCCCCCCCATTCACCTCACAGGGTTGTTGTTGTGGGGAAATTAGGAGGCGGCAGGTAGGTATGTTTGCCACATTGAGTTATTCATAAAAATAATATAGGCAGGGGAAAATATGTATATATATGTGTGTGTGTGTATGTGTGTGTGTATATGTGTATATAAATGTATATATGTGTGTGTGTTATATATGTGTGTATTTGTATATATGTGTATGTATGTATATGTATATATATGTGTGTGTATATGTATGTGTGTGTGTATATATATGTGTATGTTTGTGTTATATATGTGTGTATATGTATATATTTGTATGTATATATGTGTGTGTATGTATGTGTGTGTGTATTTATATGTTTGTGTGTGTTATATATGTGTGTATATGTATACATGTGTATATATGTATGTATATGTGTATATAAATATATATATATATGTATGTGTGTATGTGTGTGTGTTTGTGTGTTATATATGTGTCTATATGTATATATGTGTATATGTATGTGTGTGTATATGTATGTGTGTGTATATGTATGTGTGTTTGTGTTATATATGTGTATATGTATGTGTGTGTATATGTGTATATGTATATATGTGTATATATATGTGTGTGTATATGTATGTGTATATGTGTGTGTGTATATATGTGTATATGTGTATGTATATATATGTTTGTGCATATATGTGTATGTATATGTGTATATATATATGTGTGTGTGTATGTGTGTATATATATATAGATATAGATATAATTGTTTGTTTTATATATATAAAAGAAACCGACATGGACCCATTGCCTCCCTCGTCTTCCTCTTCCTCCGGAGACCTTGGCCCTCGTCTGTCTGTCGGTGGGGCTCCCCCCCCTTGCTAACCTTGGAGGGAGGTGAAGGCAAACTGGGCCCACAGCCGGGCAGAAGGAAGAGGAGGACGGAGCAGAGACATAATTACAGTTTACTCCTCTTTTAGAGACTTCCCCAAGGGAGCAAGGCGGTCATTTCTTTGTGGGGGCAAACAAGAAGCCTTTTGTTTTATGTATCTCCCAGAATTAGGGCAGGCATATGTCAGTCGAGATGGGCAGCCTTTTCGCAGCCCAAGTTGCAATTTTTAATACACACACACACACTCACACACACACACGGGATACAATAGGTGGGTTGCGCCCATTAGTGTCAGATCATGGTGTGGGTTTTTTTTTTTTTCTGTCTGCTCTTTTCATTGATTAAAAATAGAAAAAGAGGCTGCAAGGTTATGACTGCCCATCAGCACGTGGGTCACCCTGGCGCAGTGTGCTATTTTCAGGATTGCGAAACCACACGGAAAAAAAGACGCGTGGGGTTTTTTTCCTTCGGCCCCTCTGAGCTTTCTCTTCCCGTTTATTCTGCCTGTGGAAAAGTAGCTAAGTCAAAAGCGGTCACGAGGGCCGCAAAGGCACGTGGTCACTGTGGGCCGTTTCTGGACCGCAGCTTTCTTTCGTTTTTTCAGAGAATTGTGACATCCAAGATTTGATCTCTAATCCAGAGGTCCTCCACCTTGGCCGCTTTAAGACTTGTGGACTTCAACTCCCAGAATTCCTCAGCCAGCTTTGCTGGCTGAGGAATTCTGGGAGTTGAAGTCCACAAGTCTTAAAGCGGCCAAGGTGGAGGCGCTGGCTGAGGAATTCTGGGAGTTGAAGTCCACAAGTCTTAAAGCGGCCAAGGTGGAGGCGCTGGCTGAGGAATTCTGGGAGTTGAAGTCCACAAGTCTTAAAGCGGCCAAGGTGGAGGCGCTGGCTGAGGAATTCTGG